TTTTTTTAAGATTTTGTTATTTATTTGAGAGAAAGCACACAAGTGGGAGGGGCAGAGGGAGAGGGAGAAGCAGACTCCCCGCTGAGCAGGGAGCCCGATGCAGGGCTCAATCCCAGGACCCTGGGATCATGACCTGAGCCGAAGGCAGACGCTTAACGACTGAGCCACCCAGGTATCCCTGGGAGATTTTGTTTTTGTTTCCCCAACAACTTGAATGGGACAAATGGAAAGAACAATGATTGACTTAGTGAACATAGACTTGGACAGATGACATCAAGGACCATCCTGACCCCCTAATCCTAGCTACCGAAGTTCCCAGAAACTTAGATGCAACATTTTGGAGAAAAGGCAGGAAACCCAATTGAGGAGATTTAATTACTCATCCTCTACAGAATGGGAGCTCAAAGTAAAGATTAATTTGTTATAGAAAAATAAACAATGCATATGTCTTATCTACCTGACTCAGATTTGCACCAACCACAACATGAACAGTGGAGACTTGCCATTGTTTAACTTCTGGAGTATTACTTCAGACACCTACACTAACAACCCATTTCCTATGGGTGAAGCAAGATAGGGGAATGAGTAGAAGGAAACATTTGTAACATGTATAACTATAATTGTCAAACTTTGCCACATATTAGACTCAACTGGGGAGTTTTAAAAATGCTGACGCCCAGGCAAAACATCCTGAGCTAGAAACTCAGAATCTCTGGCAGGCGGATGCAGCATCACTATTTCTTAAAGTTCCCCAGATGAGTTCATTGTGCAGCAAGTTTGAAAACCGGTGATTTTAAAGCAGTACTCCTCAAACTTCAGTGTGCACACAAATCAGCTAGAGATCTCGATAAGAAACAGATTCTGATCTAGGAGGTTGGGGCGGGGCCTGAGAGCCTACATTTCTAACCAGCTCCCACTCTAAGTAGCAAGGATTTAAAGACCTCTCTTATGTGCCAGGGTTTTACTTCCGATTCCTAAGAAATTAGCAGTTGTGCTGTAAAGCGTAGGCTCTGGAGTCAGACCGCCTGGATTTGACTCTTGCCTCTGCACTTGATTGGACTTCAGTGTCTTTATCTGTAAACCGAGGATGATGATAACAGTATCTACCATTCTTAGTAGCCGTATAGTAGCATGAGAAGTGTATCATTAATCTCAATTCACAGATGAGGACCTTGAAGTTCAAAGAGCATCAGTACTTTACCCAAGCTCACCTTGCTAGTAATTGGCAGGCAGGGGCTTGAGCCCTGGTCTTTTCCCACTTTATCCTGCTGCTTTAAGGGTCTGGATTGAATTCAGTCTCATTATCCTCCTGTCTTCCCTGTTTCTGATCACAGGATCACTGATGTTCTAGGTGCAGAGAGTACAAACCTGAGTGACCTCTGTCCCTGCTTCCCCTTCCCTTTGTAAACAGCTGTCCCTCACTAAAGCTCTAGAAGTCATGCCTGCTCCCCTGCTCTATTCCCACAGCATTATTCAAATTCAGTTTCCTAGGGTCTCTCACCCTGAACTTCTGAAATAGCTTTATGTTCTTTTTCATTAGTACTGCATCTCTCATTGGTGTCCCTACTCTGAAATCTTTGGCACTATTTCCAAATTAATCCGACCATGTGACTTCCCCTTTCATAAACCAGCAGTGACTCTCCATTACTTGCCAAATAAAACCCAGTCTTCATCAACTGGTTTTCCACAATCTGACCCTGACCACTTTTTTTTTTTTTAACTATTTCCTCTATAATGCCTTCTCCATCTTTTCTCCCCACCACGTGCCGGAAGAGGTCATCTCTCCTCTTCAGAACTCCTCTGCACCCAGCACACTTCTTGCCAACAGTAGGCATCCAATAATCAAATGACTGAATGAATGGCCTTCAGTCCTGAATTCTAACTCCCAAGGGTCTGGGGGCTCACTCTCATGAATGTCCCTAGAGCCAGTGTCCTCAACCACAGCATTTTGGCAGTTGTGAAATGTGTTATAACTAATGAGTTTCTATTAATAAAGTATAACATTGTCAAATGATTTACTTCTGATAACTAGAGTGGACTCAAGATGGTCTCTGTGACACCCTTGCTTATTTGCATTCTGTTATGATTTTTGTGATTTTTTTGTTTTTTTTATTTAAGATTTTATTCATTTATTTGACAGACAGAGACACAGTGAGAGAGGGAACACAAGCAGGGGGAGTAGGAGAGGGAGAAGCAGGCTTCCCGCCGAGCAGGGAGCCCGATGCGGGGCTCGATTCCAGGACCCTGGGATCACAACCTGAGCCGAAGGCAGACGCTCAACGACTGAGCCACCCAGGCGCCCCTCTGTTACGATTTTTGAAGCATAAGAGAACAGGATGTGACTCTAGTTAATGTACTGAAAATGACACGAAGCCTGCAATTTTATATCTGCCACAGTGTTTAATGAGCTATCGTTACTGATTTTTTTAAATAAAGGGCAGTGTTTTTGGAAAGTAAATTAGCAACATTTTTTCTTTGAAAAATAACAGTTGAGATTTTTGAAATAGTTAACTTCATTACTCAGATGCTTGTAGGATACCTTTCTAAATACTACTCCCATCGCCTCCCCCCTCCCCCGCCCCGCCCCAATCTAGCACTATTTCCTTTAAGATTCCCTTGGAGCGTTGCAGGCATGAGCTCTCATTTATGTGAGGCAGGAGCAGCCAACTACGAGCTGTGCTGTTCAACACAGTAGCCGCGTGGCTATCGAGCACCTTAAATGTGGCTTGTCCAAATTGAGATGGGCTATTAAAATATCCAGTGGCTTTCAAAGAGAGTATCAAAAATAAAGAGTGTAAAATATCTCATTAATATTTTAGATTGATTCCAAGTTGAAATAATTATATCTTGGCTATATCAGGTTAAAGAAAATATAATATTAAAATTCATTAACACTTGTTTCTGTTTCTCTCTCTTGATTTGGCTACTAGAAAGTTTAAAATTCTACTATGCAGTTTGCATTTGTGGCTCGCCTTATATTTCTATTGGGAAGTACTGCTCTAGGGCGCCTGGGTGGCTCAGTCGGTGAAGCGTCTGCCTTCGGCTCAGGTCATGATCCCAGGGTCCTGGGATCGAGTCCCGCATCGGGCTCCCATTGGGCTCATGCTCACTGGGGAGCCTGTTTCTCCCTCTCCTGCTCCCCCTGCTTGTGCTCTCTCTCTGTCAAATAAATAAATAAAATCTTTAAAAAGAAAGAAAGTACTGCTTTAGGGTACATAAGAAATATCTGGGAGTCCTGTTTAAAATGCAGATTGCCAGGACCAGCCCTCTGGGGAATCTAGTTCAGCTTTCTGTATTTTCTGCAGAGATGAGCAGGAGCTACATGAAGTAATGACTGTAATTATTTACTTTCTTGCTTCTCTTCCCACTACTAAGTGCCTGATTTTCTTCGTATTTCTCAGTTGCAATTACCAAGAAAGAGGATCAGTTTGGTCTAGATAATCATAAGTGACCCTCTTTAGTGAGAGCTTTCATATCAGGCTACCTCACAGGTCTCTGCTCTGTGGATTGGCTATCCTTTGGTCAAGTGTCCACCTCTAAAACAATCATTTGTGGCTGATGGGGAGGGTGGAGGAGGCATGGGTCAGGTTAAACAGAGGACAGGAATGACCAGAACCTCTCCTCTCAGCAGGGCCAATGGATGGCCAGCTTTGTTTACAGGGACTGTGGGAACGCCCAGCACAGATCGGCCTGGCCAGCAGTGAATTAATTCAGAAATTTAAAGAACCCAATGCACGTTCAAAGGCCCTGTGAGCACTAGAGCCAAGGATTGATTATTTCCTGAATGACTCTTTGGATACAATTCCAGCCAAGCCACTCTACAAATAACAATGACAATAGATGTATTCTCGAAAATATTTCAGTCACTTCTAACAGCCAGCTGGCCAGAGTAAACAAGGAATTTAGGTGGGGAGAGAGAGCATGCAGAGGCCAATGGGGCAATATATGGAATACAGCGAGGCAGTCACAGTTCCAGTCCCGAAGATGCCATGACGTCGCCCTATGACCTTGGGCAAGACACCCCAACCCCTCCTGCCTCAGGCTTGTCACCTTTTCAGATTACAAAGTGACAGGGATCGTGAAGGTTAGATGGAATGATAGATGTAAAGGTGCTTTTTAAAGTTAGAAGGGCTGCGCAAATGTTATATTTACAGGTATGAGTTGTCATCAACTACATGTTTACTAACAAAGGAGTAACCCCTACAATAAATCTTACCCAGTGGATAACCCCTGTGCACAGACCATCTGGTTGTATTTCTTCAACTTTGTTAAAATATTGGAAATGTTAACTCTCAGCTCTCACAGTTTATTAGCACTTACCTCCAGCTATAGCTTCATCTGGATATGCCTCAGGAATCCACCTCAAGACATCAAACTCTGCCGTGGGGCCAGCAGCCTGCCATGAACCACACAGCATACATTTGAGAGAAATACAGTCAGTCCCATGGCTAATGACAACTGTCAGCTTCATCTGATGGTAGCTTTTCCCAATGCCTGTCAGAATATTCAAGATTTACGACATCTTCTAATGCCCTACCACAGCATTTCTGTTTAAATAATCCAAATGGGGGGCACCTGGGTGGCTCAGTCGGTTAAACGGCTGCCTTCGGCTCAGGTCATGATCCCAGGGTCCTGGGATCGAGCCCCGCATCGGGCTCCCTGTTCAGCGGAGAGCCTGCTTCTCCCTCTCCCTCTGCCTGCCTCTCTGCCTACTTGTGCTCTCTATTTCTCTGTCAAATAAATAATAAAATCTTTTAAATAAATAAATAAATAAATAAATAATCCAAATGGCAAGAAAAACTGTAGAAGAAAATTTTAGCTATCATGTTTTCAGCCTTGATTAATTGCCATGCAGTATCTTGGGGGAAAAAAACAAAATACAATTTTCTTCACCTTATTCCCCATTTCTTTTACACACAAGATAAGTTGACACCCCCACCCCCACCCCCAAGTGCTCAATTTTACAGAGAACCAATTTAGGAATGCTGAGGATGCTTTCCTTTTCCTGTTCCTTTATGGAGAGTCTGACACGTCTACTATACCAACAACAGGAGGAGAAAAGGGTTTGCATATTTGCATAATTGATTGGAAGCACGGGAATTTCGGTGGTTCTGAAAAAGGGAGCTCTGCGTCTTTAAGGCTCCATGGAGCTTCATCTCTGCTCGACGCAGACAGACCAGCTCTGCCGCAGCGACTCATCCTATCGATAAGGTTCACTTAGCCAAGGTGGAGGATGGGAAAAGAATGGAGCTGTCCCAGCTACTCAATGAGATCAGGGCAAACTATGAAAAGCTCCTCATGAGAAATCAGATAGAGACCGTGCTCTCATCAAGGATCCAGGTAATGATTTCATACAGACAGGCACCTTCCAGGATAAGGAGACAATCCCTGTCTATCCAATTCCTGTCCCGGCCTCTCTGAGGTACAGTATTTCCTTTTCAATGCAGCGTCTACTGGGGAAGGAATTTAGGTTTTACTGCGATGTGACTGGGACCACAGGGGGAAATGCTCTGATTATACTGTTATGTGGCCATTCGATTAATGTCGATTGATGATTTTTACATCAGTGGTGAGGTTCCTGTCATTAACAAAACATGGGGCCAACATGCAATAAAATGGGCCACTCTAACCTCTTTTAGACATCCTTCAGGAAGGAAGCATTTCAAATACCCTTTGAAGATATGACAGAGTTATTTATAGAGAATGTTTCAATTACGTCTTTAAAATGGCAAGCTTTATGGTAAGATTTATTAGCTTGCACACTTTGTAGAGATAAAACGAAGTAAAATATTTCTGAAAGGTTTCTGTCATCAGTTTTATACCAGATTGTTATAAATGGAAATTATCTAAGTATGTGAAGGTGGCATTCAGAAACAGTGATATAAATTGGGACAATCAAAATTCCCCAAATTGATACTGACTCTCCACTTACAGATTTTTGCTTTTGTACTACAAGATGAGAAAGGTTTATTTCCAATACAAGTCATGAAATATTTAAGTATTAAAAAGAGGGGGAGCCAAGTTGAATAAAGGCTAAATCCTAATTTCATAGACTTACTTTGTTTTAAAGTGACATTCACATTTAGCAATTAATTAAGATCGTAAACATTCAAATAAATGTTCAAACAAATATTTTAGAAAGAAGATTTAAAAACTCAGGGTTGGTTTTTTGTGTTTTGGGGTTTTTTTTTACCTATCATATCTGAGTTCAAATTCTATTCCAGGTACCCAAATACAGCAAAGAGTGAACTTAAGAACAATCACCAATAGGGAAAAAATATTTCTAGGAAATCATAGGACTTTATATCATTAGCAATTCATTTTTGGTAACAATATAAATTTCACCTCTAGGTAATATTTTCAGTCTTCACAAAGAATGATCAGTACCCTAGATCAAGCAAAGTCACTGGGATATTTAAGTGTTGGAATAGTTCACTCACCTTTTGCAAAGAGAAGGGAAAAAATTACTAGATGACCATTTCTGAAAATTATAAACCAAATAAACATTTTATTTTGCGATGGTACCAATACAAGTTACTCAGTTTGTAAGTCACAATGCCAAAATTAGTAAATTAAAGGGAAAAGGCAAGGCTACTGTAAGTTTTGTTTAGGGTCTTTTTAACATACATCTACTTTAGAGGATTTTTTTTTTCAAAGAATTCAGAAAGTCAGTTGGAATAAATTCAGGGAAGCCTGTTCATTATTACAAAATAAAGATACATAAGCTTTAGTGATTTATTGCTGTAGAACAAACTACCCCCCAAATTTAGTGGATTAAAACAACCATGGCATTCTTTCTCATGATTCTATGGGTTGAATGGGTTCAGGTGGGGGTGATTCTTCCACTGTGTGTGACATTGGCTAAGACTATAATCATCTTGGGGCACAACTGGGCTGGGACATCCAAGGTGGCTCACTTTTGTGTCTGGCGCCTTGGCAGGGGATTTTTGGAAGGCTGGCTCAGCTGAGACAATTGGGTCTGTTCCTCTCTCTCCGGGTCGCCTCAGGGTCTTTCTCCATCTGGCCTCTATGCGATCTCTCCAGCAGGGTATCCAGACTTCTTAACATGTTGGCCCAAGGCTCCCAAAAGCACAGGAGTGCAAGTTGTCAGGGCTTCCTGAGGTTAGGACTAAAGCTGGCACTTCTGCCATGTTCTGCTGGCTAAAGCAAGACACGAGGTCCTCCCAGATTCAGTACAGAAGGGGACCACACAAGGACATGAATTTGGAGAGGTCTGGGTCACTGGGGGCTGTCTTCGGCATCTAGCTACCACACAAAAATAGCTGCCAGTTCCATACACAAAATCCAAAAGACCAGCAGATATGAGCATTTTTATGCCCTCCTATTTCCTAAATTCTTGACATTCTCTTTTGTAGTTGCTCTGCTAAGTGTTGCTGCTTAACTTTGCCAATTTAACACTAAGAACAAGTGATACAGCAAACCAAAAGAGATGTATGAATTTTGTTCTTTAATGCCTTGCCCTCAACTTTGTGAACTTTCATTTACTGCAATGCTTTCTTAAAAAAAAAAAAAAACTCTCGTACCATCAAATTAAAATTTGTTATTTCAAAATGCATTTTTATAAAAGCATTAATAAGTTGTAATTTTTGCTACAAAAGACTACAATCAATTCCATACATTGCCCCTGCTGCTCTTGGGGCCAAATGTTGAGAATTCTGTCAAAAGTTACTTTCATTTGATTTGAACATCAGCATAAGAACATTTAAAGCCAAATATAACATATTCCACTTGCTATTTAACATGATGACATTTAGAAAACAATCTTTAAAGATGTAATTTTGGCCACTTCCCTAGACACCCAAGATTAACATGTTTTCCAAAAAGATCATTTGCAAAAGGTAAATCAACAGTGGGTTCTCTTTCTACGGAAGTCTATTTCAGAGCCTCTAATGCCTATGATAACCTAATCCTCTAAACTATTCATAATATACTTTCCAGCAGTATTTAATCTCTGTCCATATGCCCAGTCCCAGAATTAATCAGTTTAAGATATATAACTGTTTATCTGCTTTTACAACATAGCCTACAAGAAAATATAGGGGGAAATAATAGCTGAGTTTCAATCTGTCTTCCCCATAATGCCATAAATAATAGAAAGTTAAGAATCAGAGGTCTCAAACTTAGATCCTGCAAACTGTTACTTTTCATTAAAACAGATGTATTTTTCTCTGCATTTCATAGACTGTCATAGTAGGAAGAGACGCCTGAGGTTCCTTGTATTATCTGAGAACGCTAAAGCTGAGCATGCAATTCACTTACTCCCACATCTGACTAATGAGTAACTAAGCACTGGAACACACTTTTGAAATTTAGCAGTTTAAAGGAAGAATGATGAGATACCTATGCTGTGTTCCTAGGATGACTTTTAAAAGTTCTCATTTTCAAGAGTGCTCTTTGTTTCTGTTGTTCTTGTTGCTGGTGGCTTTCTTAAAGCTAGAAGAAGATATGAGCAAAAAAATGGACAAAGATGAAGAGGCTTTAAAGGCAGCTCAAGCAGAACTCAAGGAAGCTCAACGCCAGTGGCACCACCTGCAAGTGGAAATTGAGTCTCTCCAGGCGGTGGTGAGAATGAGCTCAAAAGCGACTGGCCCACTGAGTCCCCAGACGTTTGTTGACTAAGAGAGAAAGGAATAATGCCCATTACCTTACAGTGAGAAACTTAAAAAGCAAGGCCACTGAATTCTATCCTTGGTCCTAGTTCAGCTACCCCCCTCCCTCCATCATGGCCGTGGCTATTATCAATTCATTCAAGGTCTAGTTCACGCCTATAGAAAGGAAGTCATCCTTGCTTATCATCCTGGGGTTCTCTAATTGCTGTAGTGGGAGAATATAGCCTTTGTCATTATCCAAAGTTATCACGGGGCGGGGGTGGAGGGGTGGGGGGGAGGGAGTCTTCTATCCCCACGCCTGAGATTTCTAATAGTAAAAAATATTTAAACACCTTCCTAAAATGCCTTTTCTAAGCAGCCCACTCTGCTTTAACATTCGATATTCTACATTTCCAATTTTTACCCAAATAAATAAGTGGTAATAAGTCAGTCATACTGCAGATTTTTTTTTTTTTTGGCCGAAAGAATTATCACAGGATTCCTTTGAAATAGTAAGCTCTCTAGCTATCTAGATATAATTTTTTTTTCATTTGAGTCATACACAAAGTTGTAAGGAAATATCTTTTGCATAAGTGAAGTACCATTATTGCAGACTTTTAAAGAACACAATAGAATGGAGACATTGCAAAACAGATTTCAGCAGCACATTTTGTTTCACTGATTTCACTGATGAAGATCTATATAAAACAGGAAAGGGGCCTGGAAAACTCCCTACATGCCAGTGAGCAACATTACCAGATGCAGTTGCAAGATCTAGAGGCGGTGATTGAAGGACTAGAAAAAGAGCTACAGGAAGTAAGGCGCGGCATCGAAAAGCAGCTTCAAGAGCATGAGATGCTTCTCAACACGAAGATGAGGCTAGAACAAGAAATCGCCACTTACCGCCGCCTCCTAGAAAAGGAAGAAATCAGGTACCTAATTCCATATACAGTAGTTAATGGCAAGTGATCAGAAATACAGAGCTTCTGTCTTTGTTGAGGTAGTCAGAGAAATTACATCTAAAAACCCATCATCACCATGGCGTGCTCACTGGGTTCCTACAGCAAAGTAGGATTAGTAGGCATGGCAAAGAATATGTGGAAGAACTATTTCCAGCCTCCCAAAATTATGAACAGAATGGCCAAAGTCAGGGACAGTAGCTACAACAAAGCGCGCTTCAAGCCTAGAGCGAAATGTAAATAATTCTCAATTGCTATAAAAATGACCTTTCTTAACTTGCTCACTTTCCTTGTCATTCATCTCTTAGAATTAGTCAGTGCCTTCTATGGACCACCCACAAAGAAAGCTTGGAAAATGCACATATTACCACATCCCCCCCACCCAGGGCCCACTCCCACCACAGATCAAAAGTCAAAATTAATAATAATAATAATAATAATGTGATTATATTACCACCACAAAAAACAATTTAGTTCTGAATACATGATTTAAAAGACTTCCAGATGTCCTGAAACAAAAGGTATCAAAATATCAAAAGAGGAATTCTTACTAATTCAGTTACATAATCTGCAATCACTTAAAAGGTCACATGGCTTTGAACACAGGACAACCTCCAATTTTCCATGTTCCCATAGAAAGAAACCTTTATTCTTGCTTGCTTCAGAATTCTGAGTCCTCTACAAAATTAGATGAAACTACTTTAACCTATAATAAGTTTTGACATTTACTAAAGCTTTGAAAAACATAAATTGAATTCAAAATCTACCACTTACTAGCTGAGTGACACCAAGCAAGTTACCAAACCTCTCTGTGCCTCAGTTTTTTCATCCATAAAATGGGAATAATATTACCTACCTCATAGGATTGCTGTGAGGATTAAATAAATTGTTTGTAAAGTGCTTAAAACAGTGCTATGTGAATATACACACACACATATAATTTGTTGTTAAATAAAATAAGTGGTTGTGGATTTTATTTAATGCCTAATCATTCAAGATGTTGATAAAGTGGTCTTTAATATTCCTTTAATACAATTTTTAAATTTTTTATTATGCTATGTTTAAGATATACAAGAAAGTTTCAAGAAAAATGTCATGAACTTCATGTACACACTTCCCCCAGCTTGAGAAGTAAAATATTTACAGTGTTGTTGAAGTCTTCCCACCCCTACCCCAGGCACCTAAACCATATCCCAACCCCCTATCCTCCTCCCTTAGTCTAACCTGGCTCCTGAATTTGATGCTTATTAGCCTTAAACATTCCTTTATACTAATATGTATATATGTATCCCTAAACAAAATATGAAATTTTTTTGAATATTATTTTAACCTTTATAAAATTAGCTACAAATTACCTTTCTTTTCCCATTCAGTGTTATACTTAGGAGATTCATCCATAAAGATACAGTGTAGCCTTAGTTCATTTATTTTCATTGCTTAATAGTATTTCCATTGTATGAATATATTACATTTTATCCATTCTCTTACTGGTGAGCATTTGTTTCAATTATATGCTAATAGAGTATTGCTTCTATAATATAATTCTTTCCAATTTCAGATATTATGGTTGTATCCAAGGTGAGAAAAAAGAACAAAAACCTACGACAAGTAGAGTTGGTTTTGTTTTACCTTCAGGTGAGTTTCTGATATAAGTAAACGAACTTGAAAAATAAAGTGCCATTTATAGGGATTATAACTAAATACTATAGAGTAGCAAAAACAAGCAATATTTGAATAAAGTTTGACATATAAATCAACTGTGACTAGTACTACAACATTGTAGTTTAATGTTTCATGATAACATTTTCACAGCCATTATAAATGAAATATCTTTTTCAACGAAACTCCCACAAAAGTATGAGAACGAAAAAGTGGAAACAGTAACCAAACAGGCAATACTAAATGGCAATATCGTGAAGGAAAGCACTGAGGCTCGTGGCACTATTCAGTAAGTAAAATAACTTTGACTAATAATAATAAACACACAAAGAAATTAACTTCAATTGAGTAACCAGTAATCTTTGCATGCTTCCAAACATAATTTTAATGTGCTATGATTTTTTTTAATCTGACATGAGCAAATATATATAAACAAAAACTCAGATATAGGAGTGATCAATCCTTAATTCGCTATTTTTCCAAAAATATAATCAAAACATGAGAATTCCATAGAATTCCTTGGAAATTATACCTGTGTAATTTTTAAAGTATGTAAATTATAAATTCCACAATGTAAATTCTGAGTTATAATTCAAAATGTGTCAATTATGAATTATACAAATTTCTTGATTTCTTTTTCATATGGAATTCATATTACATATTTTTAATAGATCCATACTTCTTCATATGGAAAGGTTTATTGTATCATTTCAGGACAGAAAAAGTGGATGAAGTTATTAAAGAATGGGAAGGCTCCTTCTTTAAAGATAACCCTCGATTAAGGAAAAAATCGGTTTCTCTTCGATTTGATCTTCATTTAGCAGCCACTGATGAAGGGTGTTTACAGACTAAGCAGGATAATCTACCGGATATAGAAGTCAGGCTTATCATGAGAAGATCATGCAGTATCCCCTCTATCAAACCTCCATCAGGAGCTAATTAATCCAAAGACAGTATTTGACTTGATTTGAAAATGACATTAGGGAGGACCAAGGTGGGCCATGCTGACTGCCTTCTGTCCCAAAATGTAAGTTATTAAGTATGTATGTTATGATCAATGTGTGATTCTCTTCAGAAAACAAACAGGAAGGGACAAAATTTCTCTGAATCTAATTACGGATGTATTCTTTGAAGAGAGGGAGTTTCCAAATAAAATCAGAAATTCAGTATGGTTTCTATTTTATTTACTCCAAATAGTCTTTTCCTCTTGAAATTTTATCAGAGACTATAAGCGTTAAGGTGGCTTGGTTAAGTCTTTGAAATTTCACTCAGTGGCCAAATATTCTAAGGAAAGGGAACAATTTGTTTAAGTATGATTGTATTATATTAAGAATCACACTGACTTATTCATCATTATTCCATGACTGGTTAGATCTAAAAAGATTTTTCTACTTAAAAAAGAAAACAATTGTAAACAAACTTTTAAAGAGGACTCACTAATCACAGAACCAAAAAAAAAATTTTTTTTGAGACAATCATTTGCATACTTAGAAAAATAACAGAGCCACTTTCCACGAGCCATTCCAAGCAAACTATAGAACACACCCCTGGCTAATTTGATGATTAAATAAATTTAAATTAATCTTCATCCAAAAGCTTTTTGTAATCATGATCTGATTTCCAGAAGAGTTACTTTATTCAAGGAACTTTAAGGTTGTGTCCTCCCCCACAAAAAAATCAGAAGGCCAGCAGCACAAACAGAAGATGAAAATCTCATTCTCGTTGCTACCGTTACTAGAATAGAGTCCTCTAATCTCACCATCCCAACTTTTCCATCTGTAAAGTTAAATGTGACTAATTTTAATATTCAATGTGAGCATTAGGTAAGATACTATGTAAAGTATTACAAATATTTCTTGCAATCATTTATGTGAATTAAGATAACAATATTGTTATCTAAGCGATGAGTATTTGCAGGATTTCTGTTTTTAAACTGTTCAAACTATAATAAATAGGGACAGAAAATCTATTTGTGAATAAGTCAAGTATTGTAGCAAAGTTTTTTAAACAACTTAATTTGTTTAATACAGGCATATTTATTTATTTTAAGACCTTAAATAATAAATACCTGTTTTAAAACATTAGAAATTTATAGGCTATCACTTTTTTTCTAAGCAGAAAAAAATGTTGATTACAACTCACCATACTTTTTTCCAGCTAAAGTATCATCGAAGGGCTACAGCTCAGTTAGCATTTTTATTACCAATCTTTGCAGTCTCTCTTTCTCTCCTTTATTTCACACAGAATAAAATGTGTATTTTAACCAGGAGAAAATTATGTTAAATCATCTTTAACATAATGCAGGAATATAAAATTTTAATTTTTTTTTTCAATTGCTTTAGATTCCTTTTAGCCTCTCTTATTCTATTTAGCAAAAGGGATGATTTTGTTTTGTCAAGGATAGGACAGCATGTTAAATGCTTATTCTTGTGTAAGCATCTGACCTAAAATACATCCTGTACATAGTGTTTTCATTCAATATTAGTTAAATGGTATGCTACTAACTTTATTAATGCTTTAAAAAATGCACTCATGTAAACTATTGTATTAAAGTCACTGTACTCAGCAACAATAATCATAATAAAACAATATATCTAGTGTAATCTACATGCAGTGTTCAGAACAGTACTGGGTATCATGAATGTAACTGCTTGTTATAGTAATTCTGCTATGCAGCTCTTGTGTGTATGACATGTACATTTTAAAATACAGTACTTGAATTTATAAAAAAAAATATTTTATTTGCTTTGGGGCATTTTAAATCGGGATATGAATTTACCAAAGTAAATGATACCACTACAGTAAAAAAAAACTGAAATATGAACTCCAAAGCTGCATTTTATTTGTGTTTGATACATTGTATTGAGTTTAATTGTTCCAATATTGTTAGCTCGCTTGGGGAATAAAGAAAAATGCAACCACGGAGAGATAACAGTTTTTATGCTTTTTTGCAAAAGAAAAGTTAAGAATGGTACAGTCTAATAAATAGTATATTCTAATTAAGAGAATCAAAACAATCCCATAACCCTGGGAAAAGGATAATAGTAGCCATAATTTGCAAAGCATTTACTCTGCTCCTGGCACTGTCCTCAGCAAACTCATACATGATATCTAATCCTGACAGCAGGGCTACAAGATTCTATCCTCATTTTATGGATGAGTATAAATTAATATTCTTCAGTCTCTCTGACTTTTGTATATGTCAACATACAAATACAGAAGCAAAGAGTAATTCCAGTTACTAACAATAATAGGATCCCAGCCCGGGTGCTATCACTAATTCCCCATGTGAGCAGGAAGGAATCACTGGAGTCCCCTAGGCCTCAATTTCACACTCAAAAACAAAGGGAAAGATGGTGCTTGGTAATATTCCTACCCTGCCTACATCACAGAGTTGTTTGAAATAATATACATGTGAAAATATTTGACAAAGCATTACTCAAATATACAGTACCATTTGGATGAAAATTGTCATTGAGAATTTGTGAAAACAATCATGGCTGATGATGATTAAGTAATAATTCAAAACACAACAGGTAAAGAAAATTTTCAAATTCTTCAATTGCTGCCAGACGAATTATCCTTTCCCAGGGAGTTGCCTAATTTGAATTGTTCTACCACGGTAGTTTGGAAAGTACAAAAACGTTCTCTTAAAAAAAAAAAAAAATGCTTAAATTAATTTGAAAGTTTCAAGTGGAAACATATTATGGGACATGGGCCAAAATTAAACTTTAGTTAAATAACACGTATACACACATTACTCAAATGATCAACACATAAAATCAGAGTGTGTGCACAAAGAATTTGCTTCTGTGTCTATAAATTACGGCCAGCATGGACCCACAGATTGCTAATATTGATGGACATACTACAGATACAGACTTTAGAAGTTTGTTTTTGTTGTTGTTTTTTAAAGATTTTATTTATTTATTTGACAGAGAGAGAGAGAGACAGCGAGAGAGGGAACACAAGCAGGGGGAGTGGGAGAAGCAGGCTTCCTGCTGAGCAGGGAGCCTGATGCGGGACTCGATCCCAGGACCCTGGGATCATGACCCTGAGCCGAAGGCAGATGCCTAACGACTGAGCCACCCAGCACCCCTACAGATACAGACTTTAAAGTAAGGTATATGTGCGATCAGTACAAGCCTTTTCCGGTTTCCCTCACCCACTTAGACCCCAGGGCAAGGTTGGCAAACTTGCTCTGTAAAAGCCCACATAGCAAATATTGTAGGCTTTCTAGGCCATATGATCCCTGTAAGAACTATACGACTCTGCCCTTGTAGCTGAAAGCAACTATAAATAATATGGAAACACATGGGCATGGTTGTGTCCTAACAAACTATAAAAACAGGAGGCAGCTTAGATTGGGCCTGCAGCAGTCATTCGCTCACACCTGCCCTGGACCCTCAAATAAGGTCTGTGGATGCTAAACCATACCCCCAGATTCTCCAGGACCATCGTGTTTTCATCCTTTCCCATACCATGTGTCAAAGCTCACGTCCCAAATCCTCAAGGTATTTTGCAGGCAACGTGGAAGTTTGTAAAAGCAACCCATACTTTGTCAAATTCGACAAAACACTGTGAATTACTCTGTCCTGGAAATCTACCAGGCTCCAATATTTCACAACTATTTCTAGCGATAGAAAATGAGTAACCATAACTTCTGCTTTCACAGAAACAGCTGAGAAAATTAACCTATTTCACCATTTTGCCTATAACCAGACTTTTATAAGCTATTCCGTCCGGGGAGAACTCTATCATCCCTTTCCCTATTTTAAGGGGAAAAAAAAATCCATTTAAGGGGCACCTGGGTGGTGTAGTCAGTTAAGCGTCCAACTTTTGATTTCGGCTCAGGTCATGATCTCAGGGTCCTGGGATCGAGCCCAGCCTCAGGCTCTGCGCTTAGCACCGAGTCTGCTTGAGATTCCCTCTCCTTCTGCTTCTGCCCCTCCCGCTCATTCTCTCTCTCTTTCTAAAATAAATAAATAAATCTTTAGACGAAAAAGAAAAAATCAATTTAAAATAGCTTCATTAAAAATACTACAGACAGGGGCCCCTGGGTAGCTCAGTCGTTAGGTGTCTGCCTTCGGCTCAGGTCATGATCCCAGGGTCCTGGAATCGAGCCCCGCATCGGGCTGCCTGCTCCACGGGAAGCCTGCTTCTCCCTCTCCCACTCCCCCTGCTTGTGTTCCCTCTCTCACTGACACAGGGAGAAATCAAAGAGACCTGGGCTTAAATCCAACTTAATCACTTACTAGTTTTGGCTTCCCTGTTTGGGGGGAGGAAGAACCTCAAAAAAGTATGGGTAAGTGTCAGAGAGGAAAACAGGCCAAGTTCCTGGGTCTCACTGCCAGAAAGAAAACTAAACTACTTGGGCCTAAGACTAGGCTTCTGTGAGGGCTCCTAACAAACTTTATAGTTACAGTAATATAGTCATAATTAATGATGCATCTCATATTTTCCAGGAATAATCACCACTCCAAAAGTCTGTTTTGTCATTCCCATAAACACCCCAGTACATATAAGAACATACCTGAGTTTGCTTTGGGGAAAAAAAAACCACAACTCAGTGTAAGTACAGCCTATCTTGCTGAATATTTTTCTCTTCAGTCTTAATTTCTCCAGGACTAGGGAACAGATTTTTTTCTATTATATTTTGTCTGTATTCTTCCTTTCTTAATTTTACAAATCTCTGGGAGTGGAAAAAGAGCCAAGCAGAGAAAATGAGATAACCATTTATTCATTCTGCAAATACTGAGCACCTGCATGGACCATATACTGTTCCAGATGTGAAAAGTCCCCATCCTCAAGGAGCCTTCATTCTGATGGGAAGAAAAAAACAACAAAATAAATCCATAACAAATATAGTATGTTAGGTGGTGATAAGAGTTATAGAAAAAAAAAATGAAGCACAGACCATGGAGAGAGCTGGAAAATGAGCTGCAATTCTACTTAGGTCTGAGAAGACCCCCTGAGAAGACATTTAAGTAAAGACCAGGAGGTGGGAAAGTGTATTAATGTCACTGCTCCACTCAGATCCCCTCCTTTCTTTTTCCACCATTTTTGTGCCACTCCTTTCTCACTACAGGGTAACATCCAGCACCTGCCGAGGACTGCCTGGAGATGACAAAATGGAGCACGTGCCCTGGCACTGCACTTGCCCAGTCCCCCACCATAACCCCAAGTGCAGGTTAGAAACCAGGCTGGAGGCGCTGGACAAGACCAGAGAAAGAAGGTACTGGGATCCTTGCTGAGACTTCCATGTATCTTACATTAATCCTTTACATGTCTCAGACGCTTTTATATTAAAAAGGCAGTTTCAAGTACAGTTGACCCTTGAACAACACGGGTTTGAACTGTGCGTGTCCACTTACGCATGGATTTTTTTTTCCAATAAATACAATGGAAAATTTTTTGGAGATTTGCAACGATTTGAAAAAAACTTGCAGAGGAACTGCATAGCCTAGAAATGCCAAAACATTTTAAGACAGAGTTAGGTATTACTGTAAGAACACAGTATAAAATACATATAAGGTACAAAATATGTGTTAACTGACCACTTACATTATCAGTAAGGCTTCCAATCAAAAGTATACTATGAGTAGGTAAGTTTGGGGGGCATCACAAGTTATAGCTGGATTTTCAACTACTCCCCCTTGTTCAAGGCCAACAGTACATTAACTCAAGTACCACTCAGACTATTATCCTTTGATGACCTCTCGGTCTTCCCCTTCAATTTCACTAACCTCAGTTTATGAGTATCAAATATTGGAAGCAGAATTAGACAAAATGTCACTTAAGCCTGGCTTTGCAGACTTCTGGAGATGCCCTGGTCCCTGCTGGCACACCCAAAAGCACCTAAGAGCAGCCCAAGAATTCAGTCACTAAATGTCAACAGTGTTTTTAATTACAGATCCTTCTCCCTTCACAGCGGCCCACAACATGGGCCGGGTGTTTATGTATCCAAGGAAGCGGGTAGTAACTGGTAAACCAACGTACTCACGATTTAGTGGAAAGAACCCTGGACTAGACCCGAAAGCTGCCTCAGTACACATTTATTGAGCATCTAGCAATGAATCAAGCCCTAAGCAGGGACTAGCAATAGAAAGATGATCAATGCAGATAACTGAACCTTTGCTTTCAAGGCCCACGTAATGCGCTGGAGATGACAAACGCAGTCCGATACAATGGATTGGGTATAGGGTACAATAAAGTTTACCAAAGAACCGTGGGAGTTCAGAGGAAGGACTATGGGGGCAGGCGGGGGGGGAGTTCCAGGAGGTCACCACAGTGAGAATCTGAGCAGGATCCGGAAGGACAGATGAGCTTAAGCTGAAAGTGGGGATGAGCCAAGGCAGCGCTGGGCAGAGACTAGTGGCACCCCTCGCGCTGCAAAGGCGCACAACCTTGGCCGAGAGGATTTGCATCTCTGGGCCCCGGCTCAGAAACCTGGCAATTACACCACACGCGTGCTTGGAAAAACTGAAAAGGTCCGTGTTGCTTTTGGTCAAGGTTTAATGCCTGGCCGTTAAGGCCGGAAGCCCCGCGAGGCGCGCGTGGGAACGGAAACTCCGCGAACCGGGTCGTCCTCGACTCCACCCTCAGCTTGCTGAAGTATATACTCTTGCTCCGAGAGAAAGAGCAAGGAAGAACCCGGAAAAACCACCACCACCACCACC